TTTTTATTACCTTTTTTGAAAAGATAAGGGGAAACGTGCAAGTTAATAATATACCACTGAAAACTGGTGTGTCTGGTTTTGATTGATATATGCTGTAAGATAGAATGGATGTGGCAATAACGGTTACATACCTTTTGTGTGGTCGTCGGTGACTTTCATTTCTCATGAATCACAGTCAGTTTTGTTTTTCATTCAGTTCATTCAAGAAACAAACATTTTACGTCTGTTCTCAAAGAAAATGATTTGCAGCCTAAAAATATTTCAGCAGATAGAGAATTAAGCAATTTAAAAACTTTACCATTCACTTAACTTGAATTATGTGGAAAAAGAATTCAAATTCTTATTCAAAGGACTGTTTTTTGATAGTCAGGTTCCTTCACTGTCAAAGGCAGAATTAAGGAGTGGTCAGAGATAGGAGACCACTCCCCTCGATGAGAATTGCTTATAACCTGAACACAAACTAAAGTAGAATTCACTTATGTCTGACCGCTCAACAATGCAGAACCTTGTGCTGATCCTTGGGATCGTGCTGCTCCCTAGAGGCAAGTTTTTCTTCAGTTATCTGTTCTTTTGAAGAAAGTTCTGTAATATTCAATGAAACATTTTCTTTTTTAATGCTTCTACAACATGTTTTAGTACAACCCAGTAAACGTTTGTCTACATTCTACAAATTATTATACTAATTACTGTACTGTTTGCCCTTTATTTTTTAAACGGTTCATTTTAGTGAATGTTTTAGAATATGTCCATGCATTGGAAGCAAGAAAAATTTCACTTATCTTTATCTTTGTTTTATCAGCCTGTGCCTTGAAATGTTACGAATGCATACCGGACCTCTCTGGAAGCTGCGCTCAGACAACAAAAGAATGTCCTTCCAACACTCAGTGTGGATCAGTAAGAGTGACTTCATATGCAGGTTTGATATTTTATAGTTTTTATTTTATTCTTCTTTTGAACTGGTTCAGTTTTCAATGGTTCCTCTTTTTGTTGCAGGTAATTCAAAACTGGTTGATATTAAAGCGAAAAGTTGTGCTGCGGCTGAGGAGTGTGTTCAGGCCTCAATCAACTTTGGAGTTTCTCAAACTCTACTGACCAGCAAGTGTTGCACCTCTGATCTTTGCAACTCTCAAGATGCCCCTGGTAATTTCTATCACGCTTCTTGGTATTTTGAAATGTAATTTCTTGTCCTTGAAAGTAAAAAAAAAAAAAAAAAATTATTTATTTTTATTAAATATGTTGAGAAAGTTTTGAAGTGGGTCAAAACCTTTCTTTCAATCGTCGTATTCGCTTGAACAGATGAGGTCAAAATTATCAATCTGTAAAAATTTTGTGATTAAAAAATCTCAAACAATAAACATATTAATAACATAAATGGTTTTTCTTTTGTTTTCTGTTGTTTTTTTTGTTTGTTTTATTGCTGATGTTTTTGGCACACAGTTAAAATAAGGAGGGGAACAAATATTACAAATATTTCTGTATTCAACAGAGGGCAGCATCTCCTCTCCAAATGGGAAAAAGTGCTTCCAATGTGATGGAAACGATTGCACAAAAACTCTAAATTGCAATGGAGATGAGGACCACTGCATCTCAACAAGCGGTAACAGGCCGACAGCATTCAATGTCTGCATGTTTGTTCTTTTCTGCTCAGTGATTCAGTGATTCCCTCTTTTCATTTCCTCAGTGACTTCAGGAGGGCAAAAGGTGACTGTAAAGGGCTGCGCCTCCAAGGTGGTTTGCTCAAGCACACAATCTGCACAGATTGCCGGAATCATAGGAACAGAAATCAGCTGCTGCCAGGGTGACCTCTGCAACAGTGCCATCAGTACAACTGCTGGCCTTCTGCTCTTTGTGACACCGCTGATCTCTCTGGTCTTGTTCTCTTAGCTGATGGAAACAACAACATCACAGCCGAGCTTTTCTTATGACTGTCACAATGTTGCCTCTCATTTCACCAGAGCTTAAAAAATAACTACATTTTTGTAACTAAACATAATTTTTGGTTTGTGGAGAAAATAAATGAATACATTTCTTAAAGTCCTGTACATTTCTCTATTTTCTTTAAGTCAATATTATCGGCTATCAAATTAATAAGACATATACAAAAAATATGGTTGAAATAATCAACACTTGGCTGACTTTTATCATAGATATTAGCCAGTGATTTATTTTTCTAGAACGTAGATCATTCTGTCCCAATATTTAACTGCATTTGTTACTCACTGCTTTAAAGGTTAATGTTGGAAATGGGTGGAATTATATTTTATATTTTCTCCATCTAATGGACAAATCTTTTTATAGTATACAGTTTAAACATAGACTTTATTAACCCCACACTGGGGAAATTCACATGTTACAGCATCACATGTGTCAGGAAGAAAAGTGAATAAAAGATATAATATAAAAAAAATAAGAAAATATAGCACATCAAGAAAAAAGCCACAATAAACCTATAAAGACTAATTTGTACCATGTACAAATGTACATGCTTGTAAAATATACATGTGTATTTTAGAAGGTATCTATTATGTGTATGTGTGTATTGTTACGTGGTCAGTCACGTTTGTTTTGGTCATAATCCGGATGAGTTGGCTGTATTTTTCCATGTTCTCACCCCTGGGCGGAGCCTCATCACTACACCTGTTTGTTCACCTGTCAGTGATCCAGGGCTAACAACAGGCAGTATTTAAGGCCAGCTTCCTTATCTGTTCCACACCAGTTTGTCAGCTATCCGAGGTTGTTTGTTTGTGTTGTGTTGTGTTGTGTTGTGTTGTGTTGTGTTGTGTTGTGTTGTGTTGTGTTGTGTTGTGTGTGGGTCCAGATCCATGCTTTGGCCTCCGGGCCCCATTGTTACAGTTTCTCCTAGAACAGAACCAGGCTGGGTTTTCACTTCGGGCTTAAACTGGACAACTGCACATTAAATTTTTGTGAATCACCACACAAACTGATTGCATGGTTAGAGCATACTCTGCTGACATTTTGAACAGTGTTCGGTCATCTAAGAAAATCATTTTCAAGTCTGTTTATAAAAATACAATTATTTGAAGTCCACAAATGCTTCAGTGGTGGGTCAACTATCTACTAGTGTTTGTCAACTATCTGACATCAAAATAAATGAAACATTTTAGTCAAGCAAGAAATGTTCCAGTGTCTTAGCTGACAAGAACAGCACCTGGTTTGGTTTTCTTCTGCTGCTGTAGCCTTTCTGCTCAATATCTGCTGTCAAATGCCTCAGAAAGAGCTAAACATATGATAGATATTAGATATTAGTCTCTTAACATGCTTATGCCTTAATACAACTTTCAGCTTTCATTGGTGCTATCAAATCAGATAATCAACATACAATTATAATTAAAGTAATAATTTTGATAAATATGTGTCCAAACCTTTGATTATAAAACTGTAACACTAAATCTACAGTTCACTGGCTGATTGGGTGTAATAGCAATATATTAAAAATGTATTAGATTGAGTTCAATTCCAACATCAGGCCGGGGTCTTTCTGTGTGGAGTTTGCATGTTCTCCCCGTGTTTGCGTGGGTTCCCTCCGGGTACTCCGGCTTCCTCCCACCGTCCAAAGACATGCACTTAGTGGGGATAGGTTAATTGGATAACCCAAATTGTCACTAGGTGTGAATGTGCGAATGAAAGTGAGTGCGAATGGTTGTCTGTCCCTGTGTGTTGGCCCTGCGACAGACTGGCGACCTGTCCAGGGTGTACCCTGCCTCTCGCCCTATGACAGCTGGGATAGGCTCCAGCGCCCCCCGCGACCCTGAAAAAGGATAAGCGGAAGCGAATGGATGGATGGATGGAATGGATGTATTAGATTGAACACCTCAGTATTTCTGAAGTATTGCAGTTATAATGTGTGGTTTAGTAAGAGAGGAAAATGTTTGTGAGAGTGTACACATGAATGTTGCTGTGGTATTGTTGGCTAAGGGTAAACGTAAATACAGTAAAATCGTAATTCACGTCGACAGTAATGACACCCGGTTACGTCAATCGGAGGTCACTAAAATCAATATTGAATCGGTGTGCAACTTTGCCAAAACAATGTCGGACTCTGTAGTTTTCTCTGGTCCCCTCCCCAATCAGACCAGGAGTAACATGTTTAGCCGCATGTTCTCCATAAATTGCTGGCTGTCTGAGTGGTGTCCAAGAAACGATGTGAGCTTCATAGATAATTGGCAAACCTTCTGGAGGAAACCTGGTCTTGTTAGGAGAGACGGCATCCATCCCACTTTGGATGGAGCAGCTCTCATTTCTAATAATAATAATAATGTGTTAATAGACCTCTCTGCATTGAATCATATCTGTTATTAATCCCTGTCTCTCTTCCACAGCATGTCTTTATCCTGTATTTCTTTTCTCATCCCAACCAGTCGCAGCAGATGTCCCCCCTTCCTGAGCCTGGTTCTGCTGGAGGTTTCTTCCTGTTAAAAGGAAGTTTTTCCTTTCCACTGTCGCCAAAGTGTCGCTCATACGGGGTCATATGATTGTTGAGTTTTTCTCTGTATCTATTATTGTATGACCTACTGTACAATATAAAGCTCCTTGAGGTGACTGCTGTTGTGATTTGGCCGTATATGAATAAAATTGAATTGAATGTTAACTGCAGTAAAAAGGTTAAAGTACCACATGTGCTGTCAGTGCAGTGTCTGATCTCAGACCTGCACAGCTTCCGTTTTAAACACTTGATGTACTCAGCTGCATGAAGAGCACATGAGATTTTCTCTGACACAATTAAATAAAACATGATGAAGGTCAAAGGTCATCACTTGTATGCTGAACAAAAAATTGGTAATCTGGAAATCTTTCACAGTTTTTTGCCAATAGTGTGTTATTTACCATAAAGTAATTCAGAGTCATTCACACCAGAGTAAGAGAGGATAATATATTTTTAAATATACTTTCTACAGAACTAAATATAATATCTTTATGCAAACGTCCAGAGCCTCTGTGGATTTGCCAAGTATTTATAACATAACGCAAAGCAACAGCCTCCATCACAGTGTTCATGAAATGCTGGGTTTATCAATCTTGTGGGGCGGGCATATTGTTGAGTTCAGAAGATTTCCCTGTAAGGGACCTGGTGGTGAACATTAGTCTTCCGTCCTTGCGATGAACTTCAGTCTTCCTGATGTTTCTGAAATGGTGCATCTCTCAGTGGGTTAACAGAACATGTGACACCTTTCTGTGATAATAGAAAGGGAACAAGTTTCTCCAAACCTCTGGAACGAGGAAACCCAGCATGGTCTCCCTCACCAGTTTTCGCCCAGGATGGATGAAGCTGTTGATGATAATGTGGATAATAAAAAGAAAAAATGACAGGTCTATGAAACAAGCCGCTGGTTTTATTTAAAGTTTCAATGTTAGCAGACCGTAGAGCAGGCTCCGGAGCCGCATGCGACTGTTTTGTCCTTATACTGCGGCTTCACATGGTTTGGGAAAATAAATTAGAAGTATTTAGCTGACGTGTATTTTATTTGTGTTTAGTTCTTTTTTTTTTTAACTTGTAGTTCTAAATTGGAAAATTGTTGTGATATTGAAATAAAAATAATAAAATTATATTTTATTATTTTTCATCGCTCAAAATAAGCGTCACACTCGCAGAAGCCGGTATACCTGCCAAAACGCTGTGCATTTATCAAGACTTTCAACCCCAGATAGACCAATGGATCTTCGGATCCACATTATGTCAGCAGCTGTTCTCCACCGTGAACTATGTTAAAAACAAACACCGCTAACGCCTCACAGATGACAGCTTACAGTCCTGCGTAAAGATGAAAGTGACTTCAGCCCCGATTTGAGAGGCGGTACCCAGAGGTTCAGGAGCAGAAGTTCCATTGTAAACATACCACGGCAGACCCGCTGCTTTTCAGCATCCCGTTATTGACCACTTGCTGTACGCATACAGTCGACGGTAGCTTTTCAGCTCACAGCCCGACAACACAACAGCAGAGAGCGTGATTGCAGGTGCCGCTCAGGCGCGTCTGACTCGCATGCAGCGGCACTGCAGACCACGCCCCGCCACACACATTAACCAGGTAAAATACATATTTAGGCAGAATTTTGCAAATATCTATTTTTCATTTTTTGGCAGCATAGTGCTCCCCCTCCCCAATTTTTAAAAGTCAGATCAAGGCTCCAAAAGCCCAAAGGCGATAAAACAGTTTTTGTTTGCTACATGGATCATTTTAGTTCAGCTTGGAGTCTTTCCTTTTGTTATATTTCTTTAAGAGTTCAAAATGTGTTAATTACATAAATAAAATGTAATTTTCTCTGTAGCACTTCATGGATTTCATAAGCAACACATTTGCTCTGTGGATTCTTTTGAAAACCAGTTAAAAAACTTTTCTGTTCACACAAGCCTTTTGTTGATCTACGTATTTGATATTCTTTACATCATTTACACTTGATCTTGACTGCACCTCCAAGAACTCGGCTGTTAAACTCCTAACATTTGCAGATGACACCACTGTCATTGGCCTCATTCAGGATGGTGATGAGTCTGCATACCAGCAGGAAGTTGAGCGGCTGGCACTCTGGTACAGTCAGCACAATCTGGAGCTGAACAATCTTGTGATTGACCGTGGCTGCTGGGTCTCTGGGGGTCCTCTCAGCCTGGCTGGGGGGCTCCTTTGCCTCCCTCCTGCTGTGTGCCCAGCCTGGAGGCTGCGGTCTGTGACCAGCTCCCGGTGCAGA